ATATTGTTTTATAATAAGACTATTGTTTTATAAAAGTGCAACATGTGTACACTGCAAATGCATTATTCAGCCTTGAACCCGTGACCTTGTAAAGCCATGGTGATACATGCTGCTTCACCATGGCCTTCATTTGTTGCTACATAGTAATTTTTGGTTGTAGTAGTAGCTGTGATGGTGGGATAACGTTCTGAGCTGGATACTTTGAATGTTTCCATACCATAATGGTAATGTTTGATGAACGTTCCTAATGCGAAAAATTGTTATCAGGGATTGATGTGAAATAAATCAAATGCAGCCAGAGTATAGAAACAGTGCGATGGACTGAAACATTGAACATGAAGAAACAAGACAGACGGTTACTGGATCAGAAATGCTACATTGAAGCAAACTTATTTTTTGTTGTAATAGTAAGAAACAGAAACAAATTTGAGTGGTCTTTACAGGCCTCAGATAAAAGGAAACAAGCAAGTGGCATGAAGCAGCTGATATAAGCAACTGAAGTGTTTCTATATACCCAAGGGAAGTGCTTAGCTCTAAATACTACTAATATGTGACATATAGAATTATCAGACCTACAGCAAATAGCTGGACAAACATTACCATGTGCTGCAGACTGGCACTAATGAACCTACAGAATCTGTAGAATACCTCAGAAGGAATAGGCATTTGATACCCAAGTGAGCAGTTTTGATGTTACTGTTATAGACGGCTACTCATTAGGCTAATGAGGTTTAGAACGGTTATGTTGTAGCGTTGAGTAACTTGAGTATGAAATTTACTGGGCTACATTTCCAGCCTAAGTCTAAAGGTGATGCATCATTTTGGAGGCTTTTCCATCCATGCTGGAAGAAATGTTTAGAGAATTTCCTAACCTGATAACCACTCACAAATTTGACACCCAAAGAGCAGGGTTGTTTCATTTCGAAAGTTTAACATACTGCAAATTATAGGATTTTTTGCATGAATGTATCATTACCAGTGTGTTACATATGCTGATAATAAAGCTACACAAGGTTTGGTCATAATGAGCTTATTGTATTGGTGTGTTGTGGTGTAGGGGAAAGGGGAAGCCCACACAATGTTTAGTCTGCAAAGATCAAAAACTTGTATTGCACTGGGGGGAAAAAAAATCAAAAATGATTATTCTGTTGTGGTAAAAGTGAGAGCATAAAAATGTACAGCACGCAAGAGACATAGCAGTAGTTGAAAGACCAGCTGCCTTCCACTGTACAGTATTTGACAGGATTACAGGACATGAATCCTTTTATTTATACATGAAAATGCATGAATATGACTCAACAACAATAACACAGGGAATTTGTGACATGATACACTAGCCTGTTTGTTCTTTTAATGGTGATTTCCTGTTAATATCTAGATAGGCAATTTAAGTGACCGGTGGACTGAATGATCTTCTCTGTTCCTAGATTTAAAAGGGAAACCATCATTGCACGTAAACATGTGTCTTTATTGTCAAAAAAAAACTGTAATTCTGCCGATATGTGTTTATCGCCTGTTTAAACACAGGGTGCTCCCTCCTTCACTGAACTGTCTCTAGCTCTGTGTTTTAACCCTTTTCATGCTCTATATACTCTTCATGGTAAGATGAACATCTGGGTACAACGAGGCCCCCTTTGCTAAAACAGCCACTGAACCGTAATTTTGACTACGTAATGAAGATTGTGGACTCATGATCAATATTTCTGTGAAGCACACTCCCTGGTATAGAGATGCTGGGCTGAATTTTATAATTACAATATTTATTATTATTAGTAATCATTTAATGAAATTATCATTAAATCCATTAGTACAGTATTCAGTTATTACCAGTGTACTGCTTTTACAATGTTCTTTTTTCTCACATTTGGTCTTTTCTCTACAGATGACTGTTGAGAAGTCCAGAAGTAGTTTAAACAGGCTTTTCTTGATGTCTTGATGGATGTATGGATGTACTTCCCACTGAAGTTCTTCTTGCAGCCCATGTATAACACACTGCTCATTTGACATGACCACCTGCTGGTTTCATCATTGACATCAGCGTTGACATTTGTGGTCGAAAGCGAATGTTTCAGTGGCATAGTGTGTTTCCTTTGGCTTTCTGCGGCCAAAGGCTGCCCCAAGTGTTTGACATCATCATAACAGGAAGTGGCCTGGTGATGCAGGCTAAGGAGAGCTCGTTTATTGGATGGAAAAATCCATAGAGTGACATCAGAAGATTTTCCTCTTTATTAGCAAGCACCAGTGGTAGCAGGCACCATGATGGTCATAGAACTGTCTGGAAAAAAAGCATCCATTACCCCTACAGTGACAAGTGGCTCATGTTTTTTTAAAGGCAGTTTAGTTAAGGTGAATTGTTGTGTTTTGGTTTTGGAGATGAATCACTTTCTAGTGCCATCTGCTTCCCCTGCTATGAATATCAGTGCTCTGCTATGGTACTGGGCGCCATAATGTGCTCTTGACATTTGGCCTCTTTCCCTGATTTGTACTGCGCTGGCATTTGTGCTGCGCATCAATCGCCAAGATGTGAAGCCAGAGGGATGGAGGGAAGACGCGAGACAGTCCCCCACTGGGAACGGCGTCCCCCTGCAGCAGTGACACTGCCCAGCTGGCTCTGCCACAGCACAGTCAATCAAGACCTTCTGAGGCCGCAGGAGGGCAAATGGTCGGGGGAGTGAGGCCGTGAGAATTTGGATGAAAAGGCACGTTGGTTCAGCTCTAAGGCTGCAAAGGGCTGCATGTGACACTGATGATGAAGAATAAAACATGCCGACCATTTAAAAAATATTAGCACACGTGGAAAGGAGCATAAATTAAAATTAAATTTTTATCAAGACATGAAATTATGTTTCCTCGACCCTGTTCAGGATAAGTGTTTCAAAGATGGATGGATAAAATTATGCTATTCTCTAACTGCACTTTGCACCTCATATAATTTTTGGTGCATGCCTTTAAAATATGCTGCTGTGTTTCTGAATTGGGAAATAAAAACAATATAGGAGATTCGCAAGAAGTCGCTCTAGAGCAGTTTTTACCAATCTGGTCCTCTGGGACCCAAAGTCGGTCCACATTTTTGCTCTCTCCCAGCACCCTGCCAGACAATCCACATTTTTGCTCCCTCTCCTACCCGGAGCTATAGGATGGAGCAAAAATGTGGACTGCCTGTGGGTCCTTGAGGACCGGATTGGGAAACTGCTTTAGAGTGTTCCCTGGTGTTTTGCAGTCCAGTGTGAAGGAGCCACTGAGCATATGGTCAAAGTTTGGGCCTTATTTGTTCAGCTTCATTTGTTCACTTGATAATTTGAAATAGGGCCCAATAAAGGGCCATAATATGTAATTAGATCCTCTTCCAGCTAGAACACTTCTTCGCATGGATGGTACAGAACATACCCTAACAGCAGGACAGAAAGTGGGGTGTTGGAAAGCGCATGGAATTTACTAATACGCTTACACTACTGCCTGCGATCATTTTATGTGTGGTATGCAGTGCGAAAATGCAGTACTGCTCGTGCTAAAAGTAGTCACAGCTCATTAATGTTTACAGCTGTAAGTTTATTTTGGGATAACTTGAATTTGAATGGGTATAAAAAAAATCGGTTGGGTTTCAGTGTGCGTTGTCCTTGTTGAGCCATGGAAATGCGAGAAAGAGATGCTTGCAGTCTTTAGTTGCGTTGTCCTTGAGCTGCGGAAATCTGTGGTACCAGACAGCAGTTTCTTCATCTATATGTGTGAATGGTGTTTTTGTTGCCAGACATAAACAATTAGTTAAAAATATTTACTTATTAGACATGTCGAAGGGGAAGTAAAACCGTAGCTGAACGCTTCGCTTGTGTTATTAACGACTCTGTATTTTGAGAGTGGAAAGGGGGGCAGGAGATGAGAATGACCTTGTTCTGTGACTGAATCAGCCAGGAGCGTGTGGAGCTGGTGTAATTACTCACAGGGCACCCACACATTTTGTACTTTGGCAGATAGCTGCTTTGTTGGGGTGTCAGACTTTGGGGGTCTCAGACTAAGGAAGATGGAAACAAATGACAAAGTGGTTATTCTTTATGCGCAGACATCGCTGCTTCACAGTCCAGTCCGTCCCTCCGGCTGCCGTTAGCCAGTAGGCGTTGCATGGGCCCTGGCTGTCCCCAGACCATCTTTTCTGCTGCTTCCTTCTCTGGCCCAGCAGGAACCTGGACTGCACCATCCCACCGATTAATATCATCTGGTGTCAGGGCTGGCCTGGGACTCCGACCGCTCTGCCGTCTGACCTCTGCTGTCTGCGATTCATTGACTTTTGGGTTATGCCTGCATGGTTTTCACACTGATGCACGGTCATAATTGAGATTGTCTTCTATGGAGGGTGGATGGTGCATCGCAAAGTGATCAAACTGTTCAGCATCTGCTAACCATGCCTTTACAAAGTTTCATTTAAATATTGGGTTCTCAGGGTGGATTTCTGCTGGAGTTTTTGAGTAAGTTCCAAGAAAAAAAAAAAAAATCTGCTCATTGCGAGAGCGCATATAATGAGTTTCTACCACAGTTTTGGTGACTTGCAATTGGCTGAAAGTTCTTTCTTAAAATGTCTAGCCTCAGATGAGAGCAGAAAACTGAGGCATGACTGGAGGCAGTCATGCCTCAGATGAGAGCAGAAAACTGAGGCATGACTGGAGGCAGTCAGAGTGCCTCATAAATGACCGTTGCACACTCTTGTCTGGGTACAGCATATGGCATTGATTTTGGAGAAATACTTTGGAGGATTTGGAGATGTTTTCCTTGATTCAGAAGGGGCTAACTAAGTAGTATTGATGGCTGCAGTGAACTATACACATTCTGTTTGGAAGAGCTATCTCTGCATAGCTGTCTCTAAGTCCAGACCAGTATAATGTCCTATGAATATTCCACGAAAAAAAATACTGGGCTTAACACAAGTATGCGTGGGCAAACAATACAACATTTTTGAGGGGAACTTTTGGAGTTGTGTGGAGTTATTTGTCTCTGTTCCTAACGGGAAGTCGGACTTATTGCTAGTCTCCAGAGTCCCAAGTCATGCGCTGAGAAGAATTCAAAGCCAGGCGACCCCTCTGAGTGTTTCCATTCCCGTGGTTCAAGGATTTATTCTCTGCAGGTTTTCGGAAAGGGGAAGAGGGAGAAGGTCGGAGGAAAAGGCAGGGCTGGAACAATGACATGAGTGAACCTTCAGGAAATCCAGGAAATATTTGCATCCTTTTTGCTGGGACACGTATACATCACATTAATGTAGAATGGCTATTTCTTGCCATCTTTCTTTGGATTAAATTTGTGGCCTCATAAGAAGAGACTTTGTTTTGTGCTATTAATGAGAAATGAACCTGAACCTCAAATGAACACTTTAAGAGGAAGTGAGCAGAACATTATGGCACAGTGGTGGGTAATTATGTGATTTGTGTGCTATTATTTATATATTTAAATACACATAAACAATATGTAATCATATAATTATAGCTTATTTATAATATTGGTAATTATTATAATTAAATGATGAAATACCTAACAGACTTGCATAGTTTAGTTTTTTGTTAAATAACACAGCTGGGTCTAAGTGACTGATTTATCATTTAGCTTTTAAATGAAATTAGTTCATGTATGTAACTTGTGGGCTGGATTTTTCCCCAGACACATTTGTGCCTAAAGATCTGCAGTCCATCCACAGAGGCAGCCCTTGCAGCCCAAAAGACACATATGAAGGCTGGGTGTACAGAGCCAAGTGGGGTTAGGGTTAGCAGCCGTCCACAGCTGTGTGCGTCCCCCCACTTCCGGCCTGGCAGCTAGCGATGACACTGTGGTTAATAGCAGTGAGGTACATGGGGATTACAGCCAGCTGGCACTCATTTCTGAGCACAGGAAACTGGTGGGATCAGGTTAGTGAATTTAGGACAGTCAGTAGACGATGGGTTTGGAGATATGTGTTTCTGGTTGACATGTTCGGTCTGGAGAATGGAGAACAAATGGGGAATCCACAACATGAAGAGGCTAGCACAGGACAATGAACACAGGCTGATTAATAAAACAAATGGGGAATCCACAACATGAAGAGGCTAGCACAGGACAATGAACACAGGCTGATTAATAAAACAAATGAGATGTTGATGTTATGAGTGGAGATGTACTGTAGTTTTAAGAGTAACTACTGTTGTATAGACCTTTGTAGGCTCCTGCTAATTAGCTTTTTCGAAGGTATGAAGAATAGCGTCGCAGTTGTACCCTTAGAGCAGAAGACAGATGGTTTTTATTTTAGCGTCTCACGTGATGGTATTACACTACAGGCTAACTAGCTTCTCCATTCCTGCCATTTTTGCGATGTCACTGATTACTGTCTGCAGCATAATTCATTAGGCAGCCGGGACAAAAACGATAATAAATCTTTCAAATGTATCCGTGCGTTAAGTAAATGTGACCAACCATGCTGGTGTTGCCCATTAAAGAATTTTAACCCTGACAAGGAATTTCAGTTTTTGACTGTCATTTAAAATAAATTGGACCGTACAGGCATAGAGGCTACCCAAAAAATGTCTGGGGGGGGCATCCGGTTGAACGCAGCATAATTCTTAGTCCTGACTATAGGTCTTCTAGGTCTTCCTTACCGTTCTGGACATTATAGGCCGCTCCTGGGTTTAAAGAGGCAGTTCTGGCTATATAAGAGGTTATCGTTCTAATTCCAAGTCTAAAAGGGTTTTTCATGTATGGTTCCCTAGAATTAATTGACTGATGAATAACCACAGAAGAGACAGATTGGGGGTTAGATATTTGCTGTTCAGTGTTTCCAGCTCTCACTCTCCTGAGTGTCTGGCAGGTCACATCACTGGTGAGTGTGTATACACGTGTGTTTCTGTGTGCATGAATGTGCGTGTCTGGCATCCATTCATTGTTCTTGTGAAGTGCTCTCCACCCAGGCAAAATCAGGAGCTATCGTGTTTCCTTCAAGTCATCTGCTTAATGTCATGATCTGCCTCCATCATGTCCCCATTTGGCCAGCAGAGGTCACTGGCCATACCATAATCACATAATTGTTCCCAGCCCTGTCTTAACCATCCACACCTGTCTCGAGTTTGTTAACCGTGTTTGATGTTTATATGTCCCTGCCCTGTGTTCCCCAGTTTGTTCATTGACGTTGTTGCGGATGTTTAGTGTTCTCCCTGTTCATTGTATCTCCTGCTCCTGCAGTGCTCCCCATGTGCTGGTTCGGCCCACTCCTGCCTCGATGGTCCTTCCTGCCCACTTTTAGACCTTCTCACCATCCTTAGTATTGCGGTGCCGTCTTTGTCAGCACAATACAGTCCTCTTTCTGTTCAGCCAAAAGCTTCATCTGGGTCATGCCTCCCCCTTCAGATGTCACACTTAAAAGTAAAATGTTATGGGGGGGTAATTGGGATTGTGTTCTAATGTTGTAGTCTATGAGTTCCTCTCATGTTAGTATTTAATTATTTTACATCATAAAATGAAGTGTGATTTTGGAGAAGGATTTTAAACAGTCAATATTAGGTTGTTTGGGAGGTTAGTGTAATATGGTCAACTAATAAATAAATGACTGAAACGGGAGTTAATGATCAATGGCCTCATTAGCATGCAAAGCTAACCCACGTTGTTTTGGAAGTATAAGTTATAATGGAGGTGTACTGCATTTCAAAGCTAAGATGACCCCCTTCAAGTACATTCATATTTTTTTTTTGAAAGCTTACATTCTTCAAATATACCTGACATGACCAATCATGGGAATTATCTTTCACTTTCATCTGCAGTGTCAGTGGTTAGGGCTCATGTCCCCAAGTGGACGCTCTGTGTCAGAGTGCTGTTGCTGTCTGCACCGTGTTTGCCTCCCCACCTCAGTGTTAACTCAACGCAGAGGACTAATTTCCTGACCGAGACATGTGGAGCTGCAGGAGACTGGGACTAAAACCTCCGCTCCATGGCCAAAATGCCCTTTTATCTTTATGTCTCCCTATGAAATCCCAATGAGCATCATATCTATCCTGTAACTTTGTTTCTTTTTGTTCAATTTCCAGTTAAAGCGAGTGAGAAGTTCAAAGAGGTTCATCAGCAAATCCTGTCTTAGATCGGAACCCCCCTTTCTCCTATTAAAATACTGAGCAGTTGTATCTCAATATCATCATCGCTGTTTTAGACCTTAAAGAATATTTGCAATATTCTATAAAGATCAGTATTAAAACATAATTAAAGGAATTTAAAAAACTGGAGCTCTAAACCTAACATAAACTTGCTAGCAATAAACGTGACCTAATGTCCTGACTTAACGCAAGAAATACTTCATAAAGTTTTTTTTTTAACCTTCATTAATATTGGTTATAATAATTATATCATATTTCAACAATCATAGTGTTTCCAGTTTTCATTCTTAACCATGAACATATAATGTGCATAGACAAAATCTGGAGCTGAATGTAGCTACCTAGTTTAGCTAAACCTGAGTGTTCTTTCGGGCCCAGCTATGAATTCCACCTCTTCTGGGTGTACATTACATAAAGCATAGACTTTACCTATAGCAATGGGTTAGTTCCTAGAATACCCCTTTGCTTTGTGGACTACACAGGCAGAATTTATCGAACTCTCTATTTCTACACAAAAGTATTTTAGTTTTAAAAAACAGCTTTTGTCTGCAATTGTTCTCCAACATGATGACCTTGTTTGAAAAATATTTTATACAGCCAGCCTCTGCCAAGCAAAAAAAAAAAAACCCTCATGTCAATTAATCTGTCTGGTCTCTAAATTTCTGAAAATCTTTTCCATTCCAAATAAATCTATTTTCCTTACACCATCAGGAATACCGTTTTCTTGTTATTATTTCCTTTGAGGTTTGGCCTTTTTTGGAATTGAATGACTTGTAAACTTTTCACATTGCACCTTAAAGTGCACTAGTGCTGCTCAGCTAAATCTATACTGGTATAAAATTACGATATGTAGAGTTTGTTCTAAGGTTTCTGGGATATTCTCCGGACCCCCCACAACCCTGCATAGGAGAAGTGGGTAGTGGAAAATGGATGCATGGATAGAGTGTGTTCCTTTACCCTGCATCTACTCAACCATCCACCCAGATTTGCAGTGATCCAGAGCCTCGTCTGGCAAGCAGAGGATGGATCAGATTTTGCATCCTGGGTATGGAGATAAATGCAATTTCATCACAGTGCAGTCATTTGCACATTCGCTCACTTGGTCACACATTAAGAACAACTAAGAGTTGCACAAACTGGGTGTGTATGGAACGTGGGGCAAAACCAGCTTTTGCCAGCTGAAATGTTAAGCAGACAGATGTTATTTCAATGGAACAAAACACAAGGGCGCAAATCCAGACATACATGCTTTTTTGTTTACAATCTATTTCTGCTTCAGCTGATAAAAATAGAAGTACCCAGAGTGCTGGTCTTGGTTGAGTTTGATTACCTGGTTCGTACTATGTCCTAATCCAAAAACATGAAGGACCTATCTTTACCCTATCTTTTCCCCCCAAAACTCAATAATTCATATACGATGCAAAATCATCATATATTAATTAATTCCATGAATCTTAATGATTTATAGGAATGTTACAATTTTAAACTGCAGTGCCCTATTTGTAATGTCATTATTTTTTAGAATGATAATATGGTCTGTATTTTGCATTTTGTTTTTATGGGAAGGCAGAGCCTCTGGTTTGATTGTTTGATTGACATTGTTTAGACAACAAAAGGAAATATTGGATAACGCTTTACATTAACTGCACTTTCATAATGCCTTTATAATTATAAATAATGTAACTATATATAACATTACTATAATTATATATAACATTATATAATTATACTATTATAATGTTTGTTAACGTATATTACATCTGTTGAGGTATGTTTGGTGGACGTAAATGTTTCTTTATATACATAATATGAGTTTTATTTTAGCTTATGTGCATCCTAAGAATATTATACTTGCTGAAAATGATGTCATTTCATATTAGTGTAAACCAGTGTTTCTCAACCCAGTCCTAAGCGAACCCCAGCCAGTCTACGTTTTTGCTCCCTCCCAGCTCCCAGCCAATCAGGAACACCGAATAGCTGGTACAGGTGCGCTGGGAGCTGGGAGGGAGCAAAAACGTGGACTGGCTGGGGTTCGCTGAGGATTGGGTTGAGAAACACTGGTGTAAACGGTCAAAGCCCCCTAGCGATTTGGAAGCTGGAGGCTAAAAGTGCTACAAAGTGTTGAATATGATTGCATGAAAAGTTAAGAGCAGCATTAAAAACAATGTTGTAGCCCCTGTCATGTATGTATCTCCAGGGTTCGTTGGATTGTGCCTCTGGTGTGTGTAGGGGGATCGTACATCTTCCCCGTGTTTTGTGGGATTCCTCAGGCTACTCCATTAACCCCTGCAGTTCAAAGAC